AATTGATTTAAGTTTTTAAAGTTGATAGATCAACACCTTAAAAGACTTGTCTTTACCCAGGCTTTCTTTTATTAAAGTGCACAATCATCTAGGGTATATGCTTAAAGGAGTGATAGTTTGTTCCTAACAAAAGGATCTGAATTCCACAATTTGCCTTTTGCCAGAGGCATCGTTCCCCAAAGCACAGCTAACTACATCTCCTGCTGTACCTGTAACAATTTAATTGTGTAAGTCAGCCTAGTCAAGCATCTCCAGCTCATGACTGGGAGACATGAAATTCATTGTCATTATTGTCCCTGTCATTTTGGATCATTATATCCTGCTGAAGAATTTTCCTCACTTCAATGCATTTTTACCTCCAGGATCCAGGGATTATAGCTGAGGTTGGGGTGGGGGCAGGACCGTGAACTACATTTACCTCAGGGGAGCCAGAGATTAAATTGGCTTTGCTCTCTCATGAGCTGAATTCATCTATTTGTATGCTGTGAGTTTTAGGCTGGAATAAAAATGAATATTCTAGTGAACACAGGGCTTTAATTTCCTCTTTGAAACATGGATGTAACCAACTTTTATTTACATTAGGAAAGCTGATGCAATTTCTTGTGGTTGCTATTTTCATATGTGCATGAGGAATACTTACAGGCATCGTCAGGTATGTAATAACAGACATTTCTCTCTGTCAACGTCTTGACTGGCACAAAGAAAGAATTTAAAGCTATAATTTTGTTCTACAGTTTCATTTTATAGAAGCTTAACGGGGGTATTTAATGGTTTTAAATATTTAATGATTTTTAATTATATCTCATTTTCTGTGCACTAGATTGGATGACTGAAGTCCAACTAGAATGGCACCAAAGATCCACACTGGGAACTAGAAAACTGAAGTGGATAGAGAAAGATAAAGTAAATTCCTTAAGAAACTGGCTATCTCCCAGCAGCTGGTTCACATAATTTAAGAGCCCGCTAAGTTCACCCAAGGTGGCATGCCTTAAACACTTCTTGTTGAGGAAGAGTTGGCTTGGTCACCATGCTCTCTCATAGCAACCCTTTCATGATTGGTAATGACTGTGGCCAGGGCCAGCTGATGTGTCCCACTAAGAGAAAGCAAAGGACTACATAGAAAACACTAGTACATGTCTCACTCAGAAAGCCAGACTTGACTGTTTAGAGAATGCTTTCTCCAACTGAACATAAAAATAAAATACAACTAGAGGAAAGCCTGGTATGTCACTTTGTATCCCAACTTTCATTTCATGTGGATTTAACTGAGAAAATTGACATTTACTCTGTCTATACCGAAAAGATAGTAGTTATTCCTCCCTGTGTCAGTTTGTTTTTAGCAGTTAATAATAAAATATGGCAATGGATCACAATGATGCCATATACAGAATAATCACCATCATTGCTGTATCAAAAGTGCAGAGAATTTACTCCATTAGCTTTATGAACTTTTGTGGGAAAGCTGATTTTGTCTTAATCATATGAAATAGCCATCAGAATTATTTAGGATAAACTGTGCTTATGAGTGATTAAGAAAACTCTTTGGACTTTTGTACATTTTAGATTTCAAATGGAATAGCCCTAATACGTCTATATTGACAAGATCTTAAAGGTTATCTCAGTTCTTGGACCAAGTTCATAAAAATATTTACTAGTCTTCCTCACTGCATTTTCACACTGTTATATTTCACTTTTCAATGGTGCTGAAGTAGCTGTATGATAATGTATCACCAATAACTTTTTAGTTAGCAAAACTTCATAGGATCACTTATAACACTTTTTCAACAGAATTAAAATTCTTCCTAGGTATGAGTTATAAAAATTATTATTTCTGTTCACTTTTAAATGGGTACTTATGTGAATTTAAGTATTTTAAAAGCATTATTTCATGTAGCCTCAATTCATTTTGAAATCATTTAGGTGAACTATTATGGTCTGGATATGAATGATTCCAAAAAGCTCATGTGTTGAAAGTGTGATCCCCAATGCAGCAAAATTCAGAAGTGGAGTTTTGGGGGAATGGTTGGATCATGAAGCCTCTACCATTATCAGTGGATTTATCCATTTGAAGGATTAATAATTTGAAACTACAGGGAGGTGGTGGAAATTGTAGGCAGGTGGAGCATGGAAATAAGTAGGTTCCTAGGCACATGCCTTTAAGGAATGTATCTTGTCCCTGGCCCTTTCCTCTCTACCTCTGTTTCTGCTTCTAGCTGTCTTGAGTTGAGCAGCTTTCCTCTGCTGCACCCTTCTGCCATAATATTGTGCCTCACCTCAGGCCCAAAGCAATAGAGCCTGTCAATTCTGATCTGAAACCATGAGTCAAAAGAAATCTTTCCTCGAATCTGGGTCTGAGTTTTAGGCTGGAATAAAAATGAATAGTCTAGTGGTAGAGTGCGCGAGGCCCTGGGTTCAATCCTCAACACCACATAAAACTAAATAAACAAAATGAAGGTATTGTGTCTAACAAAAAATATATATATATATTAAAAAAAAGAAATCTTTCCTCCTTTTAATTGTTTGTGTCAGGTATTTCAGTATAGCAATGAAAAGCTGACTAACACACTGAGACTGTTATTATAGTCTCATAATAAACATTTATTAGGAAAAGTATGGGTTTTTTTCTTGTTAAGAAAGTTTTATCTTATAAATTTTTTCAGTTGGGTTTGTAATGGTTAATGTGCACAATGGTATTTTGTTCTCTTTGAATTAGTTTGAATTCTTCTTTTGGTCAAAGAATAAGGCATTTAACATTTTCTAAGCATGCATCTACTGCATTCAATTCTTTTACCTACAAGTTCCTCTGTAAGTTATTTCCATGCAGATTCTTAATTTGCCCATCACATTATATTAGATAAAACAGGAGTAGTCTCTATCTGTGAATACAGCTGTAAAACCAAAGGACCTTACTGTTGTATATTTTTGTTTTGCCTCACGTCAGGTATGACATAGTTAGGTCTATATCATTTCAGAACAAGGTGTAACAGCAAATAATGATCAGAATAGAATTATATAGAAAATAATTCTTGTTCAGTTCATTATTTAAGATTTTATAACCAATTTCCAAGTTAGCAATTTGAAATTATTTTCAATAACAATTTTAAAATTTTTCAATAATCTTTGCTCAACTTACAATTTTGTAACCTATAACAAGCTATAAAGATCAATTCTAGACTAAAGAAATTCTTCTTTCTCTTAATTCTAGTAGAATAATGTTTCGTCTTCATTATGTAACATAAATTTCCTTTGGTTTTTCCATGTAGAATCAATAAGAATCTATAATTCATAAGAATGCAAAAGTAACACATGACAGTCACAAATTCAGATATGATATCCAATAATATACCTCACGAGGTGATTCAGATATGCACAATCTAATAAATAAAATTAGTGGTTGCCCAATACAACACGATATAGAAAATGAATAAAAATTTGAGAAGGTATAAGAAAAGGATGAGTAATAAAAGCAAAGGCAACAAACATTTCTATGTCAAGATGAGCAAGATGCTATTTACAGAATCCCTTCTTACTTCTCCTAAACCAAAAACCTCTTTACTGTAATCACTCAATAAACTACAATGGATGAACATTAAGGGTCTGATGCAGAGAAAGCAAATTCACAGTCAAGGTTGTCCTTTAACATGTAGGCTCAATCTAGGGCACCAAAAAAGTGGTTAAGTGGCCCCCTGTGGTGGTCAGATGTGGGAAGGCACTGCAAACTGTTAATTTTCTAGCTTTTATGTTTGTCCAAGACCCTTAACATTTTTTCTAATATTGTTGCTCCTGGGACATTTTCTTCAGTTTGGCCCCTGTGGCCCCCTTAGCATACACATTTTGCATTTATATATGAAAGACAGCTGAATTGATTCAGAAACATAACACTGGAAAGAAGAAGAAAAAAGGTAGGGTTGGCCTTGAGGACATCCCATAATATGAAGCATAGATATGAAAGTCTCTTTAAACAACAATAACAAAAAAATTCTACATGCTAAGAGTTTAAATATCTAATATCAAAGATAAAAGACAACATAATGTGGAAAGGGGAGAGTAACTGAGATACACAGCCTAAGCTATGCTTTGTTCACAAAATTTCTAAGACCTTTTGAACAAGTACAATTATCTGTGTCCAGCTATTTCCTTGTAAATGGATATCCTTGGACCATTTTCCAGTCCCACACACCTTTTAAAACTACCAGTAAAATTTCACAAATGGCTTTGACTATTTTGTTTTGTGCCCCTTCTGTAGTTATATTAAGTGTTTAGAGTTCCTTTAAATAAAAGTGCACAAAAATATATTCTGTGTGTGCGCGCGCACACACACACACACACACACACAAAGAATTCATATTGAACACACAGCAAATGGACACTGGGTAATGTCACTGTTAGAAAACAGATATCTAACATCAATAAAATAAGCAATAAAATCTTAGGGTTTGGTTTAACAGATGCAATGTTTATCTACCTTCATTACATAAATTATACTCTCAAGAATGTGTCCTATGCAAAATACAAATATGTCAATTTCAGCCCAAGGGGCATTTTTCTCTAGGTTTATAACCCCTTGAAAATAGAGGTTTCATCTAGAAAACCTAACAGATCCTCAGCTGCTTTCAACATTATAATATATTCATAAGGCAAGTATTCACTGGCAAACATATAACAAATTAAATGGCACGAGGGTGGGGTCCAAATCCATAACAATGAGAAATGGACCAAACCAACCATGAGACACATGTAGAAATTAGAGAAGAAAAGGAGTATGTAAAATAAACAACATTAGAAGCAAAAACATTATAGGTAGTTTTTCAGCCAGTGCTAAAGAAAATGGTGAACCAGTGCATGTACATGTGTGCATTTGTATGCTGTCTAAGATTAGCATTAAAAGTAAAACTGCAAAACTACCTCATTAAGAATTTACTATAAGGATCATAGTATGTTCTAAGGGGTCATAGTAAGAAAGAAAAATATCTTGTAAAAAACATCAAAACATCACCTACCGTCATAGTAGACAATCGCTCCTACCAGTTTGTCCTTCTGAAGCATGGGGAAATGCTCAAGGGCTCTTGATTTGCTGAGGACATAACTGCTCTTCAGGCAATTACTTCCTGCAACCAGATCGTACAGCTTGATTCCTACCCAGTAGTAAGGTAACTGCCACCATCTACAGCATAAATAGGGAAAACGGTTTCTTTAAAAACAGAGTACAATGTAACAGAATGCCACCTTAAATTACAAGAAACTTTTCTCCTTTTTTTTGAGTTCTTGTCACACTAAGCTGCTAAAGCTGGCCTCAAACTTGCAATCTTCCTGACTTGGCCTCCAGTGTCACTGGGATTATAGACAAGCAACACTGCACCTGGCTAAGAGACTTTTCATATAAGAAAAACAAAGCATACCTACAAAAGGGACAGGAGCCCTATGTAACTATTTTTGACAACAATCTAGCTGAAGTATATAAGTAAATGAATCAGTGAGATTTCAAATGAATCTTCTCTAAGAATCTTATTCTGGCTATATATTACACCTCTTTGAGGAACATTAAAAATAAATACAAATGCCTGGCCCTCACATATCCAGAGACTGATGTAAATAGAGTAGGGTAGGGCCAGGCGACTATAACATGCACCCAGCAAAGAGAATCACTGATCTAAGAAATTCTCAGAAATCTAGAGCAAAAGATGGCCAAAACTGTAATATCTATTTCAAGCCCTCACTACATTAATGCAGCTAAATGAGCAGCACTATCCACTTTTTTTCATATTACTGAGCCTGAATACACAAACTTAGGCAACATCACAGATAGTTTCCACAACATTAGGAAACTGGATTTTCTAATTTATAACCTGATATTTCCTAGCAAAATTTCAGTTTTTGCTAGCTCAGACATTTAAAATGACCTCAAATAGGTTGAGTTTTGAGTTGCTATGTTGTAGATTCAGATTTTGCAACACAGTACCATTTGGGTTTGTATTTTACACCCTGCACATGACTCTCTAATATTCCTTAGCACAGATGTAGTTTCTCATATACATACTCCCAGGAAATGGAATAAGATACTGCTAATTATAAAAACAGAACACAACCTCCATTGCTTTCAAGGTCTGGTCTGTAGAGATAAGTCTGCAGAGTATTTAGGAAAACCCACATTTTAAATACACCTAAGAAAATGTTTGAAAGGGACTCAAGATTAGGACTACTTAAAACCACATTAAGTAACACACATGGAGGGATTATTTCCATTAAAACTGTGTTGTTCTATTGACCTCAGACATGCAATAATATACAGGTGATACCAAAAGGCTTACTTGTAAATTGGAAGCATTATAGGTAATGGAGCTGATAAATGGGGAGCAATTTCTAGTAGGTTGGCACGCTCATGAAGGGCTTCTTTTACCATCCTATACTGAAAATCAAAACAGAGAAAATTAGTTTGGCAGTAACAGATCATAATATTTTCAAATGGCAAATAGACACCCTGCCAACTGATTGATACACAGAAACCTTCTACCTCTGAGCGAGGATAGCTCCCTCCTAATCAAATTTCTAATAATACATCATGCTGTCAACCTCAAAGATTTTTTAGAAACCTTAACTGTATTTGCATAGGAGAAAAACATGCTGTCAGAGTTCCCAGGTGTAAGATATTTTCCTGACTTGAGTTACAAGATTATTGTAACCATTTATCTTGCATTCTCTGTATTGTCCCCCTTTCTCAGTTCCCCATAATATTTTCTCCAGGTTAGATAACAGATTGTTCAAATTCATGCTAAAAGTTTCCTTCTTGCCTTCACTAAATCCAGCAAAGATGCTATGCAGCAGTTGCACAGTACTTTACAGGTAGATTATTAAAAAAAGCTTTTAACTTAACTCCTGTGATTATCATTATGCCTCTCTAAAGAGCTGGCATTACTATTATAATACTAATTTCACAAATACAAAGATTAAGGTTCATAGATATTCAGCAAATAATGCAGAACACATCATCAGTTAGCTGACTCTATATCCATGCTGGGTTTTTTTTTTCTTTCTGTCTTTCTTTCTTTCTTTTTTGCATTCATCATATGCTGAAGAGAAACATAGGAAAAAGGGACAGATTCAAAACTAACTTGTCAAGGAAAAAAGGGGGACAGATTCAAAACTTGACAATGTCAAGTCAGTGCTTCTGTGTTTTTCATGTACGAAAAGCAGATAGGGAGTGCAGCTGATTTTTTTTTCTTTTTTTTTACCCCTCTGGGAAATGTCATCTTCCACACTGCCTTGGCAGTTTTCAAATGGTGGCAGACTGGACACAATAAAGTGTGACATAGGAAAAGCATGACTCAGATCATCTTTTCCTTAAGAATATGTCAGTGACAATATAAGCGTATGATTGCAGTTGCAGTTAAGAGGATCAATTTGGCACTCCCTCTGCATTACAACACAGCTCCCCTGAAACAGCTTGCAAAGGAGCAATTTGGTGGCCACTGGCAAAAACCCAATCACAATTGTTAAAAGGCAACACATCCAAAAGTGATTTTGTAAATCTGCTACTTTGACATGCTTCTGAAGAAAAAGCCCTTGATTACCCATAAACATAATACTACAGGAAAGAACTGACACACCTCTCCTGAAAGATATTATGGCAGCACACACTAAATAGGTGTTTCCAATAGGAAGAAATGTTAAAAGCCATTAAAAAAAAAAAAAAAGAGTCTGATTTAATTGGGTAGAAAAAGCATAGTCGCAATTTTTGTTTAACAACCAGCATACACAATTACCTGCTCAATATCCAACTTCATGATGGCCTTCTGAAGATATCTCACCCCACCATGGATCAATTTAGTGCTTCTGCTGCTGGTCCCTGATGAGAAATCATCTCTTTCTACAAGGGCTGTTTTTAGTCCTGTGTAACCAGAAAACCAAATTAACTTCTTAAATTACACAATTTGTATGTAATTCATTAAAGGCACTTCTCCAGGGTAGAGACAATCACAAGAAAAATTAGTCTGAACATGGATAAATTTGTATTCAAAGTGCAGTGCACTGTCTATATTATAATTAAGAGATTTTAGGCTCTTCCTGGGGGAAAAGTCAAGCCAGTACTAGAAGCATATTAAACTGTGAATGAATCACAGCTAGAAAATATTACAGTACAATTTCATGGCAGCAACACGCTCTGGTACATTTAGGGGGTCAAAAGAGAGCTTGCACCCTTCTTTATCCACATAGAGAAACTGCATGTTATAGCAAAGCCTTCTGGAACATACCTATCCTCCCTACAAGAGCCAAGACATCTTCCAGCTCCTTATCTCTGATCTACTCTAATACATCACCAATAAACCTGAGACTTCTGGTGTGTGCTTACTCCTACTTGAAAATGTGTCTGGGGTGTTTTTAAGTGTTATAGTGGGTATAGAAAGGGGAAAGATATCACAACAGGATGAAAGAAGAGAATAAGTTCTAATATTGAGAGTTTATGGTCTAAAACATTTGAACATGATAATATTTTAGAGTTATAAGAAAATACCATCCAGGACAAATGAACACCATGTATCTATAAAGAAAATATTCTCTATGAGCTGAGGTTGAGCAAAAATGGGTAAATTCTAGAAGTCAGTCAGCCCCTTTATTTGAGGGTGCTCTTAGGGGAAAATATATATATGTTTTATTTTACAACAGAAACAAATATGCCTCTTCAGGATTGTAGAGGACCAGCAGTTCTACAAATGTTACAAATCTAGAGATGAAAACCAAACTTCACAAGACCCAGAGTCTACACCATCCCCAAGCAGGGAGGAACTTCCATGGGCAGGCACAATCTTAGGGGTGACAGAATGTCATGGAATCCAATTACAATGAGAATATGCAACTGGAGCAGTCTGGGCTCACAACGCTTGAACAGGAGAACCTGTGCATGTATTCAATGCAGAGCCATTTATTACAATGAATACCAAAGGGTCGTTTTTATAACTTTTAGCAGTTTAAATATCGTGCCCAAATGTCATCATAAAATCAGGGCAATTCCCTTGACTTCAAAGGACAAAATATTTGAAAAGTGTGGAGAAAAAAAGTAGAGAATTTTGATTCAAGGTCAAAAACTGCTACAGCCCTAACTAACTAGTAAAATAACACAGAAATTATAAGTATCATGGACCCAAGGCACTCTTTTTAATCATGCATGCCAAAGAAAGTTCTGTAGCATTCTGACCTATTAAACAATAGCAATGCACAGTAAATTTAGAATTTCATACTGGATACATTTGAGACACAAAAAAAGCAAGTTAGGACATATTTCAAAAACTATATTGGAACCATATTGGAAGTGTTGATGCTAGATATGAATTAGGCATGGACCAGACTGTTGAGTAATTCCCAGCTAAAACAGAGGCAAGCAAACAAAGAGCCCCAGAGTTTTATAAGGGTCACATTAAAAAACACAGAAGACTCTCCTCTTACTCCAGTTTAGAAGTTGAATTCAGGACATAAATCCAAAATAGTCAGAATTACATTTGCAAATCTCTTAAGAAAGCACTGTCTCAGTAAGCTATATCACCTTTACTTAGTAAGTCCAACCCAGAGAGTTCTTCTTTCATCACTAAAATAGACCATTTTTTCTTCACTTGAAGATCAGACGAGGGAGTTGACTTTCAAATGGCATTTAGGAGCCAGATTATTTAAAATATTTAAAGATTGTGATTCTTTAAACCCTAGAATCACAATCACAGCTTCAAGATGCCCATACTAGAGAGGCAGAGAAGTGAAACTGAGAGGAAAAACAGCATCCATCCAATCACAACAACCTCACCTGGGTCTGCATAAAGATGTCCAAGAGCCTGCTGAGACTCCTTAGATAGTCCCCAGGCATCCAACTTCCCCCACTTAGTATGTAACCGATTGCTCTTGAATGTGGGCTAGACCTAGAACCTTTTTTCTAAAGAGCAGAACCTAGCAACCATGAGGGCAAGTTACTTTGGTGATTCAGTTACAAAAAACTGGGACACATTCTCTCGTGGTACCACTCTCTCTTGCCCTCCCATTTGCTCTAGTGAAGCAAGCCTCATGCTGTGAGTCCAAAAACCAAAGAAAGGCCATACACAACAGGTCATGAGTAACAAAAGCCATTGGGAAGGGAACCCTCCCACACCTTCCCATAGGAGTCACAAGGAAGCACTGCAACCTGAGAGAGTCACAGAACCTGAAGACTCAGCTAAGGCTCACTCACATTTCCTGACCCTCTGAAACAAAGTGATATTGTTGTTTTAAGCCACTAAATTTGGGGCATAGTTTATGGATGACAAAATTACTTGTGTTAAGAATAATTGCAGCCAAGTTGGGAGTTTTCAACAGTCTCTGGGGATGGGTCTTCAGAAAAGTCTCAGTCTACAGAGTGGTTTTCAAGATGGGTAGAGCACAAGAAAGGAGTTATCATTGGCAAAGACCAGTTTAAGAAAAGGTAGTCAATGCTTGAAATGACCCAGCTTATTCAAGGACTGCTTATCACTCAAAGGCTGAGAGCTGGGTACAAGGGGACAATGTGAAGGAGATCAGTGGAAGAACTGACAAAGATCACAAATTTGACAAAGAATTAACAAATTCATCTACTTTGGAACATTTGAATCCTGTCCTATAGGCTATTGGTTCTCACAAGTAAGTAATTTCTGGATCTCTTCAAAAGGGAAATTTCTCTGAGAATGTGGCTCCAGGTTCTGGGTCATTTTTAGAAAGAAATACTTCATTAGAAAGTACAAGATTTGGCATCATTGTCACCCAACCATGAATATCAGTACTGTATTCAGTTATAGGGTATCCATTCTGAGGAACTAGAGTATGCTTGTTAATTATTTTTATTATAAAAAATGAATTAAATTTAATTGTTTTCTAGAATTTCTCAGCTATTGTTTTGAGAAATGCTATTATGTTGCATGTCAAGGGAACCACTAAAGTGTTTTAAGATGAGAAGTCTGATTGATGTTCCAGAAAGATTTTTTCTGACTGGGTGGGTAGTAGGTGCAACTAGAGAAGGACTCCAGAGGGCTCAGTTCTCCTTGAGAGGACCAGGGCACACAGAAAGAGCAGAGCAGTGAGGATCCAGCCTCCCAAAGCAAAAGATGGTGCTGGAGGGTTATAAGAAGAGAGAATTTTATGGGCTGAGTTGTCAGGGTAGATTTTTTTTTTCTTTCCCAAACTGATTCAGTGTGAGGCAGAGAACTACTTCAAGCATTAGCAAGCCATCTCAGGAGGATATTTCAAGAAATATAAGTGAGAGCTAACACTTTCAAGCTCTCCAAACTGCTTTTTCCAGTACTGGACATTTTAGAAGTTATTCACATGTATTTGTGTGAGAAGCCCTAGTGAATACCAACAAAAATTAAAATGAGCCCCTCAGTCAAACTGGACTGGTTTTGTTGTTATTGTTTTGTACCATTATTTCCATGATTTCTGGGGAGAAATTAGACTATTCCTTTCAGGATAAAACCAAAAATGTCTCCAAAATTACAACTCAATGGATATACTAAAGCACCATGTAACCTAAAAGTTACTAAACATTTCTCTATAAAACTATTATAAAAAAAACCTAAAATAACCATAAAGCTATTTTTAAAAACTCTATAAAAGGAAAAGAGTTAAAATTTTTCAACTGCTACTGTATGTCAAATGTTCTGAGTTTCTTTTTTTTGTTGGATGAGAATGTGGGAATCAGGAAGGTGGAAGGTAACACAGATTCAAGACATTACTAGAAGTTATAACAGCTTCTCATAACTTTTTTCCTTTACTGATTAACCAACTGCAGGAAAAACAACAAAATTTCTAAAAGTCTTTTGATGTTCTAGTGTGGCTTTGTTATCTAATGTGTTCTTTTCTATTTCCTCAAGAATTAATGATCTAAATTTAAAAGCTTGGTTTTATACTTTAAGTATAAGGTGAGGAAATTATTTTATCCTCTCAAACTAAGTAGTATTTTTTAATGAAATTCAATGCTCATAATTTTGTGTTCCTAGGTAAAATAATTAAGTTTAAAGAACATGAAAAATAAAGTATCCAGGATTCAAGTCACTGTTCATTACTATGGATCTGAAGAGTCTCAGCAAGATTGTCCTTCAGGGAAGAGTAAGTTCCCCTTACCCAGGCAGGGAAGGCTGGGCTCTCTGTGCATTTAAGGTAATTTGCTACTATTTCAAGATTTAATGAGAGGCTGAGGACATAGATCAGTGTTAGAGTACTTGCCTAGCATGCTCAAGGGCCTAGTGTCCATCCCCAGCACCACTAACAAAACAAAAAATTAAATAAAAAATATTTTATTAGTAATACTTTGTGGGTTCCTTCTTCCCTCCCCCCTTTCCTTCCTTCCTCCTTTCCATTCTTTCTTTTGTGTACTTTTTGTTAGCAATTACTTTCTATGGATAGCAATAAGGTACATTGACCTTATTATAGATGACCGATAAACCAGATCATTTGACAGTGATATTATTATTTTATTTTTTATTATTGATTACTTTTGATAAGAAGTCTCAGGAATTTCATAACAGCGATAAAATAATTTCTGGAGTAAAATTACTCTGAAATCTTAGGAGGGATAACAAGGTCAGTTACAGAGAAAGAATAAGATCAACTTGAAATCTCCCTTTCACTTATCTTCATCCTACATTCTTGCAAGATGGACTGGTATTTTCTGGACAGGGCAAGGAGTCTGGGCTGAGCACATCTCTGGTTCAGCAAAGCTTTGTCTTTTCTGAGCTTATTGAGAGTGCCCTGCTACTTCCACCTAAACCCATTTGTGTTCAAGACAGTTGAGTGAATACAGAGGGATAATTACAATCTAAGGGGAGAAATGGTACGACATTTAACTTTCACAACATGGAATAGAACAGACGTACATTTTAATACCTTTTACTGATTATCTTA